TCCCCACGTGAGCGGGTCTGGGGGCGTGAGGTGGCGGCATGGGTGTCCCAGGGGGACAGTGGCCGGTGGGGTGGGACAAGCCACTTCCCTCCATGTTTCTCATCCCCCTGGGAGGGATGAGCAGAGCCACCCTCGGGGCTGCATCCATGGAGCTTCAACCTTTGGCTGTGCCCCAGGAGGTGCCAGTGCCATCCCTGGGGTCACAGCTGGGTCCCTGTCCCCCTTCTCTGCCCCAAGCGATGCTGCTGTGGGCTACAGCGAGGCCAGGATGGGGCTGGGGGGGGGTCACAACACCCTGCAGTCTCCCCCAGGAGCCAGGCCTGCTGCCATCCTCGCCGGGAAGTGCCATCTCTGTCCGGGTTGGAGCAGGGGCTGGAAGTGGAAGAGCCTTTTCCAGGCAGTGGGAACTGGAGAGCATTGGGCTAATTACAGCGGGTAACCGGAGCCCAGAGCCTTCTGAATTATTGATCCCACTGGGATCCTTTCACCGCTGGCTGCTCTCCCGCACCGTGCCGGCTGCTCTGTCATGGGAAGGGGCCAAACCCATCCCTGCATCCACGTGTCAATGGGGACGTCCCAGCCCCGTGCAGATGCTGGGGTCTGTGCGGATCCCAAATCCCCTTCTCCTGGGTGGGGGCATCAGTACCCAAGGGATGCCCCAGCACCCATAACCCCCCATCTTTTCCCCTGCCATTAGGGACCACCACAACCAGCGCCCCATTGACGGGCAGCCCCGAATTTCACCCGCCGGGCTTTGACACAGCCAGCTTCATCGGTGGCATCGTGCTGGTGCTGAGCATCCAAGCCGTGGTCTTCTTCATCATCAAGTTCATCAAGTCGAAGGACAGCACCTACCAAACACTGTAAGGCTCCTGTGCCCCCGGCTGGGATGGACGGGGGGGGACCCATGCTGGCTCCTGTCTGGGCCAAGCCTACCCTTGAAGCCAAAAACGGGGGTCAGCCCCCATGCGTGGGGCTCCGTGGCCCGTCTTGCCGTGTCCTGTCTCGCAGCTGAGTGTTGTCTCCCGTGGCTGTTTGTGCCGATCTGTCCTCGCCTGGTGGGGGGGGGAGGACTTGGGAGATGGAGGGGCTCATCCTCCCCTGCCTGTCCCTCGCTGGTGTCCGGCTGTCCTGCCGCCTCCTCTGTCTGTTGCTGCCTGGCTGGATCCTGGCTCCCAGCCCTGTGGGGAGCACAGAGTCCCCCAAATCCATCCCCCTGAGTTGAGCTGAGCAGGGGCCTGTTGCTCTTCTCCCCCCTGGCCTGGTGCCATGGGGCTCACTGTGTCTAACGCGAGGGGCTGTGCCCCGTCTCTCTTTCCTTGCACGCTGCCAGAGAGGACAACCAGTAGGTGCTGGGTGCCGGTGGCGATGGGGAGGGGGCTGCCCCTCTGCACCCCCACAGCTTGACCCTTCCTCGCCCATCCCCGGGGTGGGGGGCTGGCGTGGTCCCTCTCTCCTGGTTTGCATGAAGGGGCTTTCCCAACTGGTTTGCTGTTTTCCTGGGAGTTGTTAGGGGTGGAAGGGAAGGGGGTTTCCCCCCTTGCCCCCCCCCCCCCAGTTTGGTTCCAGTTAGAAAGCACCCAGCAGTCCCCCTCCCCACCCTGGGCACCCTCTGCACCCTCTGCCCCTTTGCCTCCTCACAGCCTTGGGACTCAGCAATGGGGGGGCTTGGGGTCCCCCCTTTCCCCAGTGGGCTCTCAGGTGCTTCTCCCTTCAACATTTTGGCTGGAGCACCCAGCCCCCCGCCCC